GCTCTTTTTTTACTTTCTTCTATATGATAATAAAGTAAAAATGCAGGACCGACTTCTTTCCTATAGATAAAAGTTTTTTTTTATCTCAGTTGAAATGATAACTTAGGATAGGGAAAAGATCAACAAACATTAGGAATGATAAAAAATAAGTTTCTTTCACATAATTTCTAAGATTAAAATTTGTTAATTTTGCTACATTTCTGACAAATAATTGACTCTTATTCTAATATGATAGAAAAGAAATCTGTTTTCCCATGCTAACAATGTTTTCGTAAATGATCTCTTTAGTTTAATAGATTTTCACTCATTTTGAAGAATGGAAAATGACATTTTCCATTCTTCCAACAGAGCGCTCACACTTTCAACAAATATTTCTCCATATCTATTCTATTTATGAACTTAGGCAAAAACAGCTCATATTTTTCTAGACCTCCTAGTGGATTTTTCAAACCCCACAGTATTTTTACGTAAAAAATCTCATTTTTTTTCCATCTATTTTAAACCAACGCTACTGTCACTACTATTTTCAATCAGTGCTAAAAGCTATATTGAATGATGTAGTTCTCAAACATTTTCTAAGATAGTTTTTCCACATAAAAAAATTGAGATACTTTTCTTGCAAGAATACCATTTTCAGGTACAGAGAGTCATTCTAAGTCAAAAAATAATCATTTTTGATGAATAAAAAAACTCGATGTCCGCTTGCCTAGTGAAAAAAGTCCACTAAGACATAACCATCAAGTTACCTAAATTAATATCTGTTGAATCTTGCAACGTTACATTTGGTTCAACATCCATAACAAGATTTGAAATAGTTGTATCTCGTCCACTATCCGATGTAGTATCGCTTGTTGTACCAATTTGAGAGATTGGCAATTGTGTTCCCCCTAATTCTTCCAATGATTCCAAAACAGCTAATGTAAATTGTGATGGTGTTGTTAAACATAATATTATTTTCATCTCTTCATCTATCTCTTTAGATGTTTTTCGTTTAATTAAATTACTTTTTAATTTAGTTCGATCCAATGCATCCGAAAATAGACTAATTTCATCAGCTAATTTCATCAAAAATGTATACTGTTTTTGAGTAATTTTAAGTACTGAATTACCTTCGATTACAGATAATATATTTAATAATTTTGGCTCTGAAATTATATACATATCTCATTAACATTCGTATTTTTTATGAATATATTCTTACCATTATCTTTTTGCCTTTCATCGACAACCACCCATCCACTAACGGTTAAGGAATCTATCATAGATTGTTTTCCTGTTGATGTGCCTAGATTATAATCACACCAAATACTTTCACCGATAAAATGCCAAATATCATAGTTCGATGATTTTTTTAATGAATCAGTTGTCATTGTATAATATGGTTGAAGAGCAGTTGTCGATGATTTTGGTTCTTTTACTTGTTTTGAATTATTATTATTATTTAATGGATTTTGATATAAATATGATTCTTCGAGTTTTGATTTGAATAATGGACTTATTCTTGATTTAATGGCGGGATCGGTTGATAGAGGCCAATCTATTTGATCAAAAAACGATATACCAGATGCCTGAAAAGAACAAAAATTAAGTTTAAAAGTAATATAAAATAAATCTAAAACAGATGATTACCTGCTTTTTATTAAATAAATCTAAATGTTTTTCCAACACTGTTGTTGAACTTGATGGATCTATACGCGTATTTGTTATCAATAATTTAGAAAATATTAATTCTAATGTATCACATCCCATAGATTCATTTCGAAATAAGGACGATGTATTTGAATCGGATGAAGTGATTTCGTTTTTAGTAGAAGTAGGCGATGAAGATGAAGAAAACATATCAGAGATAATAACAACCTAAAAAATAAATAGATACAATGTAAAACTTGAAGGAAGGAGAGAAAAATCTACTCACTCTAGGTAACATGGCATCAATTTTTATGGCCATATGTTCGGGTTCACTTGGTTCAACTGGTATTGCTTTATCCTATAAAAAGAAAAAAGTAGATCGTTATTTACAGAGAATNGATCAACTGTTAAATTAGCAATAGACATTTGAAGTGCTCCTCCTTCAGCTAAACGATCACCTAAAATTATAATTAGTGTAATTAATATCAGTCAAGTAACATTATTTCAGATAAATTAATTCTACTAACACTTACCATTGTCATCGAAACCGTGGTGATAAACGCGTCTATCCAACTAAATGTACTAAAATCAACAATAAATCGAACAGGTAATAGTTGAATATACAAATCACTGTTTGGAACTGAAAAATATATAGAAAATATCTGTTTTATTCAAAAACAAGATAAAATAACGACAGGATTACCGGGAAATGCATAAGGATCCGGATAATAATATTCTGTAAATTGTATATTGAGAATACCCCAAAATTCTGGTAATTGATAACGTGATCGATCAGAGGTTATAAATGGTCGACGTCGACGTTGATCTTTTACATGTTTATCTCGTTTATCAAGTGTCAATGATACTTGATGTAAAACTAAATCGTCAATATTTATTACACTACACGATTCAAATAAACGTATACGATTTGATTGTATAGCTTTTTCTAATTTAACAGCTAAAATGATAACAACAATGTGAATCAAACAGTTTAGTCTAAAAAATTAAAAAATGTACATACATATTTCATCTTTAACAGCTTTTTCTTTAGCTTTTTCGAATTCTTCTTGCCATTGAGTGTATAATCTATTTGCCCACTCATTTCGATTAGTCGATTGTACTTCACTATATTTGGTCCAATGTTTTTTAGATGAACCTTTTTAATAAAGATAATTCAATAATTAATGATTAATAAATAGAAAATAAATATTTTCATTTACCAAACTGATGATAGGGATAATGATCAACTGTTAAATTAGCAATAGACATTTGAAGTGCTCCTCCTTCAGCTAAACGATCACCTAAAATTATAATTAGTGTAATTAATATCAGTCAAATATACTATCAATAGCACTCAACAACGAAAATATCTAGTACAAAGACAAAGACATTAAAACAAATTCGTTTCTCTTATAACAACAGACAATACTAAAAGCTTTTTAGTTTACCCATCAATTTAATGATATTTTCTATAAATATGAGATATCGAATTATCATTTATTGTTTTTAATCTACATACTTACTTAATACATCGACATCAGCTACAACATGAAAATCAAATCGTTTTATAGATAAATGTAGTGATGTTTCAACAACATCATAACGTGTAAATGTATCGTTGGTATTTGGTGTTGAAGGTGTGATTGATGCCGATGATGGTAAATTATTATCGCCAGTTGTCGGTTTTTGAGGTTGAAACATTGATGATTGAGATTGTTCCATTTTCTAAAATACAATAAAAATTTCTGTTTATACTTGTTAATAATTTTTTATTAAAAATATTTAATATACAATTAATGTATCTTGTGCTTTTTTTTTTCGTTGATCTGATGCTTTTTTCATTAATTTTGTTATTTCTGAATAGGCATTCATTGCTGATTTTAGTTGTGCATCGTTTACAACCCATAATAAATCATCAAAATGTAATTGAACACGAGATGAAATTAAACTACTATCTAAAAATGATGGGTTAAATGACGTTAAAAAAATAGAGGAGAGACAAATACAATATACAGTACTGGAAAAAATTATAGAGGCACTATAATTGTGTTTAGTTAATTTTTACAACCACTTTGTAGTTACGAGAGACTCAGACAGAATTCATTTCTGAAAGAATCAAAAGAAGATACCGCGACCGGTTTCG